CTGGAATGAACCTGTCCCCACACAGACCGCAGAGCTCCGTTAGCCACGGCTACATCCCACCATCCCACCTGCGAGCCTGACTCGGGATGCAAGCAGCGTGTTACTGTAGCTCAGCAGCTGCTGAGGGTCAAAGCGGGAGCACGTGGCTCCCGTACTTGCTGTCTCCAGCTGAAAAGGTGGCAGCGCAGCAAAGTGATTTTTTTTTTTTTTTCCTTTCAACTGGATTTATCCACCCTAGAAGCTTAATCGAGGCTGAGCAGGGAGGGGAAAACAGCCTCCTCCTCGCTTCGGTGTAAAACAAGCACTGCAGCACACCTCAGCCTGGGGACTCCCTCGACAACGGGCACCAAAGGACAAGGAGCCTCGCTGCCTGCTGCCGCCAGCAGCCTGCCTAACCCACGAGGAGATGAAACTGCCTGCGCTGGAGACTCCCCGCAGGGCTGCCAGGCACCCAGCAACACCGCTCGCTGCTTCTGAGCCCGGTGTTTTGAGTTTCACGGGGCGATCCCAGAGGAGGGTTGAGCCACTCCACGCTGAGGTCCCGTTTCCTACCTGCGAGAGGCCCCAGCTGGAGCTGTAGGAGCTGGCGATGGCGTTGCGGACCGAGCTGGGGATCCCGCCAGCGTAGGTGTTATTGAGGGAGCTCAGGGAAGAGGTGCGGGACCTCTTGGTGGAGCAGTCGTCCGGGCAGTGCGAGGCAAGGCCCCTCTTCAAAGAGCCAGGCCTAGAGGAGGTCAAAAAAGATTTGGATGAGCTTCCCCACCGCTCTGCCCCACTGGTCCTTGAAATGCAGGGTGGGTGGAGGAAAGCAACCCCCCTCTTTCTCACAGAGCAGGGCTTGGAAACGAGCCTCAGCACAGCCCTTACGGCCACCAGCCCGCGCTCAGGGTGACAGACCAAAGGCACAGTCACAGCCTCTCTAGCTCTCGCCCAAAGCTGGGCTCCAAAGCCAAATGCGTTTTCCAGAGCCCACAGGCTTTTGGACTGTCCCCCTCCCAGCTCACAATGGTTGCTTTCGGCCCAGTAGGCACTTACTTGGGTATGAGAGAGGCCGGGGCACCGTTGGTCACCAGCGGCTCGAACGCCGAGTGCCCGCTCCCACTGCTATCGTGGCGCCTGCAGGAGAGAGGGCAGAAGCCTGAGGTAGTGTGGAGGCAGCAGAGACAGGGGCTGCCCTCCCAGCCTCAGGAGAAGACCCCTTCCAGGTGGGCTTGAGGCTGAGAAAGCAGAAATCTTGCCTTTTTTTTTTTTTTTTGGTCACCCAATACCCAAAGACAAAGGTTCTCCCCATCCACAGCCCGCTGCAGATTTTCTTTCTGCCTGGTCCTGTCCTCACTGACTGTCACCCCAAGCTGCCTCCTCCCAAGCATCAGCAGCTGCACCAGCTGCCTGCTGGGCAGAGTAGTTTTGATGTAACCAAATCTTCGCCCAAATCCATTATTTTAAGCCAAAACATTTCATCGAGTCTCAGCAGCTCATTTCTGGAACGGACCTGAATTCCAAAACTCCCATCTCCTACCTCTTCCTAGCCAGTGCCCTGGACTGTTTGAGTCAGGAGCCAAATCCCCTTCCCACAATGATTCAGTGAAGATCTGAAGCCTGAAAGCATTAAAGCACACCCTGCCGAGCAGAGCTGGAGGTGTACGATCAGCCCTGTCACTTAACCCAAGCGCCTCCCTTGAGCTCGAGCACACCAACCCCACCGCACGCTCTCCAGCTGACAGAGGCTCCTTTCTGCCCTCAAAGGTCACAGGATTTTCTGCCCACAAGCATTCCTCACGCTTGCCAGACATTAATGCCTTCAAAATTGGCTTTCGTGGCAGAGCTGCGTACTGATGTATCAGAAAAAAACAGAGTAAAGAAGAAAAAAAAAAAAGCCAATTCTGTCTGTGCACCCATCCTGTTGTTGTCCTGCTCGGGTCTTGCAGGGCTCAGATTCACCACGGCGAGGCAAGAGGTAGAGGGAATTCAGCAACAGAGCAGAGGAGAGTGTGCCCTGTACAGCAGGAAGGCAGCTGGTGGCTCCCCGCTGCTCGTCCCACCGCGCTCTCAGGGCCACCAGCAGGCAAAGGGCTGAGGGGCACGAGGCACACGGCCTCCGCGTACACAAGGGGAAGGATGAGAAAGAGGAGAGAGCGCGGAACAGCAAGGCAGCGCTGCGCCTGGGTAGCCAGGAAGGCTCCGGCAGACCTTGGCATCCAGGATTTACGCCTTGGCCTTCCCAGGGCGCTGGCAAAGACACTGCACCTGCGTTTCTGGGAGCTGGAAATGGATGACCTTGACTAACAAAAGCAGAAGATAATCGCTCTGTTTCGCCCTCGTGTTTTTCCCTCCTTTTGCTAGCTACAGCGCGCAAAGGAAGCACGCAGGTCTTTTAAAGCATGATGCTTCCACCTGGGGCCCTAAGATTGGGGGATCCCACCTCTCCTGGAAGCCCGGGGCTGAAGGACAGAGATGATAAGGGCTATAGCAGGTACCAGCATTTCACACCACGTTTCTCAGGTCTTCAAACCCCTGCGATGGCAGAGGCCACGTCCCTGCCAGGAAGCCCTGCCCAGCTTCCCTGATCCCCATCCCAGCCTCTTTCAACCCCAGCAACGCCAGGGAACACGCTTGACCCACGAGCTTGCCCAGACAAAATCCTAAAGCACATCCCTTTGATCTCAAGGACAAAAAGAACTCGCAAAGGACTTTCTGACACAGCCTCGAGGGCCGGGCGATGGGGTGTGCTTCCACTCTGCGGTTCAATTCCCACAGCGCTTTTCCAACCCAGACTCCTGGTCGCACTGGGCCCGGGTGTGCTCTGGGACACATCCCATTTGTCACCACTGAAGCGTTAGCCCCCCTTACGACCTTCCCAACGCACCAGCAGTGACCTGGACTGCTGCGTTATTACCTTCTTTTGCTCTCCTGATCGTTTCCAAAAGTCTGGTCATCCTCCTCCTCCGGCTCCACAGCCCTCTTCCAAGGAGAGCACTCCTTGATGGCATTGAGCACAGTCTCTTTTGCACATGGGTCCAGGCTGCTGTTGGCCGGGAAGGCCAGGGGCGAGATCGGCCGCTCCAAGCTGCGAGGCAAAGCAAAGCGAAGCGTTAGGCAAGTTGGGATCCCCAGAGCGAGATTCCTCCACCCAGCTGCTCCCAGGGAAGGAGGGAGATGGCTCTCCCGTGCAGCCTCTCCGGGTTTGGATCGCACAATCCTCCCTGCAACGCTCCGGATGGGGACGGAGGGGTCACCCCCGAACCGGCAGCAGCACGCTCCGGGCAGCACAAGGGCCAGGGAACCGGTTTTCCCCAAGTCAGCCCGGTCAAAGGGAAGTTCTTTCGGCGCTGCCCGCACGTAGAGGCAAGACCGAAGCGGGGCCCGGTCCCCACTCCCCGTACTCACGCTGGGGAGCGGGCCAAACCGGCGACCGGCCGGGCGATCCTCACGGTGACGGGGCTGCGGAACGGGCCGGTCCGGCGAGCCCAAGGGGC